CAAAGATTGGATTTGCTCACACAAGCTCTTGGCTCAAGTTTTATCCATTCGTCCTGAAATATACTAGCCAGGAATGCGATTGCTTTATAAAAAAGAGAACAATTTTGAAATATGAGTGTTTTTACTCTCTGGAAAATAATTTATGCAACCTCGCATACGCAGTTTTGCATTTTGTTGATACGTGGTTTTCAGGTTTTTTGCATACATTAGAAACGTTAAGATCAAAATTTTTGAAAGCTAATCGTTTGCAAAATCTTTTGAGAAATATAAAAGTATATGTGAACCAAAATATAAAAAGGTTTTATTTGGGAAGAACATTCGTTAGAATTAGATTTTTAGATCGCAAGTTTGCATTCAAAATAAGAAAACGAAAAAATAACAGCATAATGCGCGCGTGGTTTTTATTATAAAATAAAAAGAACAATTACGATGAAGTCTTCTTTAATAGTCTATATTTTATATATTTTTAATGAAAATAGTGCGAGTTACGTAAGTAAAAAAATACCAAGCACTGATAATGGTTTTTGATTTTAAATATTATTACATTGGTATAAATATGGGAAGGAAAATACTCCGATTTATTGTTTTAATATTATCAAGGTGGCAAGGCCGATGATAATACTCACAATTTATGAAACTTCCAAAAATTTTATTATCCGTCAAAAGTTGTTTATTGAAACTACCAAGGCGAATTAATATAAGGTGATAGCAGGAGTACAAAAACAAAAATTTACATGTATTTTGTTTTTGCTTTGGCGGCATAAACTGTCAAAATCTGTAAGAGTGTGTGTAGAAATTCAAACAAAATTTTTCAATTTGATATCAGAAGCCGTGCGGCGAAACACATACACAAAATCAGCTGAGCTAGTATAAATTCGCCTTGGAAACTACCTCCTTTTTTGTATCATGTATGTACATATGTTTTGACAAAACTACTCAAGGCGTATTTAACAAGGTGGTGTTGGCCGTATATAAGTAAAAAATTACACTAACAAATTATACGCTGATGTCCATACTGTCATTGGTATGAGTTACAACAAACACTTCATTTTGACGTAATGGCCTCCACGGCGAAAAACTCAGCTGTCGCCCCAACACCACCTTGTTTAATACACCTTGAAACTACTCTTCTAGCAAACTTGCGGCATGTAGTTACATACGCACATACGTACATACATATATACATGTGTTGCAGAAAATTACAACTATCTTCCACCGAAGTATAAGTTTACTATTTTTTGTTTGTACCTCGATCTATGTAAACCATATTATTTGGCTCGATCTATTAAACAATATTCATTTAACACAATTGAATGGAATGAATGATTTGCATCACAAAACAAACTTTTAATATACAAGAAATATGAGAGACGAACAAATTTTATGAATGACTTGTCACTATGGACTGACGTGTACTTGTTCTGTTTCCTCACGTATAGATGGCGCTTTTTAAGTTTCAACGTCAAAGTTTAATCAAATTTTTTGTAAGGATTTGGCTGATAGCGAATTAAGTTTAACGGTATTTTAAAGCTTTTGAGATGGAGAATTCGGAAAAATAGCATGGTTGGACTAAAAATTACCTTGACCTTTATAATGACCTTCAAAACGAGAAAGTTTTCTATTTTACAAGCTTTTAACTTGCTCTGTATGTAGGTATGTATGTTTGTTAGAGGCAAATCTTGCAATCAACTTTTGACCAACTTCCAGAAGGCCTAGAGACTTGAAACTTCACAGTGGCTCCAGAACCCGATGACAATGCAATAGGAAAGATGAGTTAATCCGATAGGTGGCGCAAGAGTCGAGATATTTGAAAAAACCGCATTTAAAGTATGATTTGGTTCATATTCAGGACGTATATTAACTACATGAAAAAGAATAAATCCACTAAAAATGTTGCCGATAGGTGGCGCACTAATCGATATATTTGGTAAATCCGTATTTATGGTCCGATTTCGTTCGTATTTAGATTGCTTGATTTAAAAATATTTTTTTTTACTATTAACTTATTTCCTTCTATTTTCGATATTAAGGCAGTATGAAATTGGCTTTTTAGTGCATTATATAGATTGGCGCTTACACAAATGTTAGTGTTTGGCCGAGCTTCTCCTCCGATTTGTGGCGTGCGCCTTGATGTTGTCACACAAAGCGGAGGGACCTACAGTTTTACGCCGACTCCGAACGGCGATGGTATTTTTATGAGAAGCTGTTTTTCATGGCAGAAATACACTCGGAGGTTTGCCATTGCCTGCCGAGGGACGACCGCTGTTAAGAAAAAACCTTTTTTCTATATTTTTTGTGATGTGGCTTTGACCAGGGTTTGAACCCAGGTGCTGCGGAGTGGAAGTGCGCACTGCTTACCACTACACCACAGCGGCATTATTTGCCCAAAAACGATAATTTTGATCTTTATTTATAACCAGTCGCAAAAAACGCCAAATTTATGCTCACCGCATTTGATTTTTTAACATAAACATTAAAATTAACATTAACATTAACATGAACATGAAAGTGAACATGAATATGAACAAAAACATCAAAATAAACATTAACATTAACTTTAACAATAAAATTAACATAAAAATAACATTAACGTAACCACAAACAAAAAGAGAAATGGGCAATCAAGAGGCGGCATTTTTTAGTAGAAACGAAATCACCATCAAGTGCCCTTTCTTGTGATAGTTGAATAAAACATGCCTAATATTGGCTATTTGAGATATGCAACCCTGGGTTTGTACCAAACAACCAAGAATGATTGGTAGGTTGTTTAATCAATCCCACCAAAAAACAATCAGCTGTTCAGTACAAAATGTAAACAAACAAGCAAATGCAACAATAATTTCAAGGAACAAGCAGCAGTGCTGCCAATTGATTGGCATATATAAATAAAGTTGCTCTGAAACCCAACGAAAGCTAAATGGAATTTAAACAGCAATACACAATTAAACTTAAGTACCGTTTAAATATTCATTTGAAACCCTAAGAATAAGTATGTAAGCATATAGTATGTGGGAAATAAGGATAACAGGAAGAAGTTTAACTTTAGTCATGCGTATATTTTTTTAGTAACGTTAACGACTGCATATTTATTTTTTGTAAATTTATCAAATGGGGTATGGGGTGCAATGAGGCTAAATGGGGCCTCTGGATTTGCAGTTACAGTTACACAGCTATACTCAATCCCGACTCCTGCGTCCTCGTTGGCGCATTCTGGGCTACGTGAGAAGCCCATGTGCGAGATGCGGTAACAAATCCGAGTGTAGCCCTGGGTCAAGACAGAATGAGTAAGAGCTTCGATGGGAGTAAGGGCTCATTGAAGTCTGTAGCGTCTGTTCATCGATAGGGGCAGTCGGCTGGCTATATAAACGTCTTACGGTTGAAAAACCATGCATCCCTGCAACGGGTTGTTCCCTGGCCTTGGAACGACTAAAAATATTAAAAAAAAACCTTGCAGTATTGCTCTCAAACGTTGACGTCCCTCGCAAACCTGGCAAGGACTACGATTTAAGGATATGCACCTTTAAGAGCATGAAATGGTATTATAACTTTGGCCCGATGTTTGTAAGTACCAGAATAAGAAGAGATAGACCCATTTAAATGTATATTTAAATGATCAGAACGTCGAGCTGAGTCGGTTTAACCATGCCCGTCTGCCCGTCTGATTGTATGCAATCTAGTTTTCGAGATATCCGGATGAAATTTGGTAGTAGGGTGTATTTTTATAAAGTACTAATCTTTTGTCGGAACCGGAAGAATCGGACCACTATAACATATAGTTCCCATACAACTGATTGTTCAGATATGAGATTTTTCGTTATAAATTCTCCATTTATGCAGCTAAGAACATAAAATTTTGCAATACTGGGTTTTTAATGTAAAACTAATTTATTTGGACAGCTAAAACCAATAAATTTCGCTTCGATTGCTTGAAACGAAACGGGTTTAAACGGTTATGGTTTCGGTTTCATTCCTTGGTTTCGTCTATGATGCGCATACTTAATTCTTGAGTAACATAAGCTGCACACTGAAAACATTCAAAAAGCTAGAGTCGATCAAAATTCACAAAAATAAGTAAAAAACAAATAATTTTAAGACGCTGCCATTATTCGGAGGTATATACGATTTTCTTTGCGTGCATTAAAACTGTCATCTCTTCCCTTCAAAATGCCGCCTCAAGTGGGTAGATATCTTAAAAAGGAAACATTTTAGAGCTAAATTTGTAAAGGCATAAATATCGTGATTTTTGTAACTTTTCGGACAGGTGGGAATGAGCGTATCTAAGAATTAAATTTTGCGTAAATTCTGCTCTTTGGGCCCTAAAGAAAAATCCCTAAAATTTACAGCAAAATCTAAAAGGGTCCGCGACTTCAATTAGACGATTTCATATGGAACGACTATAAGGAATAACTCCAGTTGAATTCCGATAATTGTAATATTTTACAAATTAATAAGGTTTTTGATTAGCTAGATTTCGATTTTACCTAACCGGTAAAAAATACATTAAAAAACTTCAGAATTACCGTTAGTTTATTCGGAGCCCATGATCGGAACTAAACCAAATTAGTATTTATGGGGCCACCCTATTTTGTATTAATAGAAAATGCGATCAAAGTGCCTGACACCAACTAATTATAACTTTTATATCAGATTCAGAACAAATATCTACGACTTAAGCAATTTCTTTTTAAACCCATTTATTAACATCATATTCTTCTGACACTGAGCAAAGGCTACTAAAGTCTGGATTATTGCCAGTAGTACAATTCGAAGCCGCTGTCTCACAGGATGTGTAAATCGGGAAATTAATCATGTTGGTTGTGGCATAGTTACAAGCGAAGAGGAAGGCCTTATATGATTGGCCCGACACCGAGTACGTGGATGCGGCGCATCCTACTTTAATATTCCGGTCGGCCACCATGACAGTAAAATGGCCAATGGTGCTAAAACAAAGAAAATTTCCAAATTAATGATTTACGAAAGATCTTATGTGTATGCATTTATGTACATACATATGTATGTACTATGTACTTACGGTCCTTGATAGTTATTTGGATAACTATTTATATAATCCATTGTGGTATCCTCAATTTCGTCATACCACAAATCGACTGATTGCTGTGCCAATGACGCAATGTCCGCTGATCCATAGAAGCCTATCCAAGCAAGATTTTGGCCAGAATATTGGAAGGCATCGGTATTGTGACAAGCGTCATGCCTCATTTGGCATTGTTTGACATTCAGTTCAGCCAAGAAGGCCAATTCGTCATCCCATGTCATGGTGGCCATGCGGCAAGCGGGTTCGAGTGCGGTACTTCCGCCAGCCACTGTGTTACGCTTGGTATTGTGCGCACTAACAATCAAATTTTTAGTTTCTTGTGTCAGTGAGGCTAAGGCTGCATTTTGGCACGACGATGCAAAATTCTATAAAACAAGATTGTTAGTTGATAATTTCCATATGGATTTGCTCTGCTAATATCCTCAGCCACATCTTACCCCAGTATTATTGCATGCTATATGTTGGTCAGAACTACACAAGGATGTATCACAGTAATTTGTGGCGGAAACAATTTCAAAAGCCGCCACTAAAATAGCGAATAGCACAAACTTTAATTGCATTGTGAACGTTTAAGTGAGAACAACGGTATAACTGATAATGTGTCTAAAGTTGGACTGTAGACAATTTCTGAGTCAAATGAAGTTTTATAGGTTTTTTTTCACTTCTACTCCGAATAGAAACAGATAACAATTTCTGCAAGACTTACATATTTGCCTAGTCAATACAACAAGCGTATTGTAGGTATGTCTTAATATGTGTGTATGTATGTACATACATATGTACATATATTTGCAGGGGACTTTTACGCTCAATAACAATGCGAAATTTTTTCATAAACAAATAATATCTTAACTTTTAATTATTCGTATATGTATACGCTATAATTAACATATAATGCTTCGGCAGTGTATTATCAGGTTTAGGTTGAATTTCTCTTAGTAAATTGATTTTAAAAGAATTTAAAGGTATGTGGTTATAAAGTGAGGAAAGGCATTAAGTTGATACTTACTTTTACCACTACAAGTGCAAGACTTACATACATACATAATTTGTCGAAAACTGAAGTATATGGAAACCCCAGCTTTGATTTTTATCTTTTTCATAAAATTTAAGAATTATCTCATGAGTTCTATGTTTGCTCGCAAAATAATACTTACTCGTTGAGTTTTATCTTTCTTTCAATAAAAAACGCTTGTGAAATAAGTTTGATTTTTCGGTAAGGAAATAAAACTTATGCGATGAGTTTTATTTTTCCGTCGTAAAATAAAACTCGCCTTGTAAAGTGCGAATCTGTTCCGACAAAATTTACAACACTGCCGTATGCGATTTTGCTGCAGCGATTTATTCGAACATTCACAGCTCTTCTTTTGGTCGTGTCGAAATCGCAAACTCCACGTTTTGAAAACGAAAAAGGTCAATGTTTTTTACAATATTAAAATAAAATTGAACGGAAGAAAACAAAACATATTTGATTTAGAAAAGTTAAGAATTTAATCTTTTTTTTTTAATATTTTTGGTTTGTCTATAAATTGACAGTTTTTAGTGCGATGTGTGCGTACTTGAGCGTACTGAAGTGTTTGCTAATAGGAAACGACGCCCGTAAAAAACGCAAGCAAAACAGCTGGTTTTTACGGAAAACAGGTCCCAAAACTACCACATGTTGTGCCACCGCCCTTTGCCAGAAAACTAAAGTCAGTGATTGCGTCTAGTATTCTGTCAGTTGCTGCAACAGTGTTGCCACGAACTCAAGGCACGCATAATTTTTGCAGTGTAGAATCAATTAGTGCCGCAAATGGCATATAGATGGCGGTAGCTTAATCCAACTACGGCCACCAATCTGTGGTTTAGAGAAGTGTAAAGGCTGGTGCAAAACTCCAAGCAATTTACATACATTGGCAGATGTAGAACTAGGTGTTTACATGAGGCGATTAGTTGAATTAAAAGTTGGGTGATGACCAACTTCATTCAAAGCGATGAGTTGAAATGCCGTTTAATCCGGCGATTGTTGCTTTCAACTAAAAGTTGAAAAGTTGAATCAATGAATGAATGTTTTCGGGGTCTGAACATCGATGTTAAAATTTCGATGTTAAACATCGATGTTGAAATTGCATCCCTAGCTATAGCTGGAGTATGTCATTATAAGAGCAATTTCTTAAGAGGTTGAGGGTTTGGGATGGCTTAAAAAATTTATATTTCTGTAGTTCAAAGGTTAACTTTTAACTTTCGATTCGTTTATTGGTTGAATAAAAATATTAATAATGAGGTAATAACTGTGGATTGGAGGATGGTTCAGTGCGCAGAACGAAGGTATCTTTGACGCCACTGTCGGAAAATTTAGCCTCCACGACGAAATGTCCGATAACGGGGCTGAGGCTGATCGACTTCCCCGGGGACCGCAACTACAAAGTATGTAGTACTAGGTTCCAGCATAAGAAGATCCACCAAGCTACATGGCTGTCTCCAAATCGAAAAACGAGAAACCAAATCGACCATGTTGTGATAGACGTAAGGAATGCTTCCAGGGTTTTAGACGTACGTAAACTACGAGGGCCAAGCATCGACTCGGACCGCTATCTTGTTGTAGCCAAGATATGCACTCGCCTCTGTTCAACAAAAAATGTGCGCTCAACAATGCAAAAAAAGCTTAATGTTGAAAAGATGCAATCGCCACTCGACTCACACACTTGCTCTCTGAGAGCACCAGTCCGACATACGCGAGCAGTGGAACCACATTTCCCGATTAATAAGTACCGCCGCCGAAGAAGTAGTTGGATTTCAGCGAGCTCGAAAGAACAACTGGGACGAAGAAGAATGTCAAGAAGCCGCAGATAAAAAAGACGCCGCCTATAGGACCACGCTGCGTGGGCGCAACGCGAGCCATGTGGGACCGTTATAGTGAACTGAAAAAGGAAGCGAGTTGTATTTGACGGAATAAGAAGAGAGAGGCCGAAATACGTGAGTGCGAAGAGCTTGAGATGCTGGCCGACAGGACAAATGCCCCAAAATTTTAGCAGAAAGTTAGGCGACTTACGGAAGATTTCAAGTCCGGGGTGTACTCCTGTAAGAACAGCAATGGTGTCCTAGCTACCGATGTTCAAAACGTACTTAAATTGTGGGGGAAACACTTTTCCACCCTACTGAATGGTAGCAGCACGGAAAGTTGTGTAGAAGAAGAACCCGAGCTCGCAGTCGATGATGACGGAGTGGATGTTCGTCCGCCTGAATATGACGAGGTACGAATTGCAATAACGCGGCTGAAAAACAATAAATCTGCTGGGCCGACAGCCTGGCAACTGAGCTATTCAAGTACAGTGACGGAGGAGTTGATGAGGTGCATGTATGAGCTCTTATGCAGAATATGGTCAGAAGAAGGCATACACGACGAGTGGAATTTAAGTGTGCTCTGCCCAGTCCACAACAAAGGCGACCCCGCCATTATTATAAGGCCATTAGTTTATAAGGCCTTATCGAGTGTATTGTGAAGACTGAAGCATACCGTCAACGAACTGATTGGACCTTATCAGTGTGGATTTAGGCCTGGAAAATCCACCATAGATCAGGTATTCACAATACGCCAAATCTTTGAAAATACCCGCGAGAATAGGATCGGCACGCACTATCTATTTGTCGATTTCAAAGCCGCTTTCGACAGCACGAAGAGAAGTTCTCTTTTTCCGCATTGTCTGAATTTGGTTTCCCCGCGAAACTAATACGGCTGTGTAAAATGACGTTGAGCAATACCATAAGCTCTGTCAGAATTCAGAAGGAGCTCTCCGAGCCATTTGACACCAAACGAGGTTTCAGACAAGGTGCCTCCCGTTCGTGTGATTTCTTTAATCTAATGTTGGGGAAGATAATTAAGAGCAACAGAACTGAACCGCTCAGGCACAATACTTTACAAGAGCGTACAATTGCTGGCGCATGCCGACGCCACCGACATTATCGGTAAACACAAGGGCTACGTCTGTTCTGCCTTCTCGGTATTGGATTGAGAAGCAAAGCAAATGGGTCTCGTGGTGAACGAGGACAAAACGAAGTATCTCCTATTATCACACAAACAGTCAGAGCATACGCGTCTTGGCACATACGTCACTGTTGATTGTTATAAGTTTATTTGGGAATCAATCTTGCCAACAAGTGCTACTCCGGACTGAGTAGGCAGTTGAGAAGTAAAGTCCTCTCTCGCCGTACAAAATCACTCATCATGCCTTTGCTGGTATATGGCGCGGAGGCATGGACAATGAAAACATCTGCTGAAGCGGCTCTTGGAGTTTTCGAGAGAAAGATTCTGCGAAAGATTTATGGACCTTTGATCTTTTTGATCGTTTTTGATTAGCAGAATTAAATTATCCGCGTCAAATCACAAATACATTTTATTTTTCATTTGGTTGACAAATAAACCACAAAACAAACACAAAGAGGAGAATTTTACTTAGTGAGTGTTATAATCCCTATGCGCGGCCGAAGACTGCAAATGATTTCAGTATTTTTTTTAATTTTCGCCTTGTTTTTTTATCAATAGACTACTAAACCTATGCCTAAAACCATCTACGAATATCAAAACCAGTTGCAACAAATGAGTTTAGACATATGTATGATATAGGTACAAAGTGATATGCATGGACAAAGTTTGAATAATCGGAAGTAATAATCAATTGTACCGCATTTCCTCTTACTCTGCATATGCCTAAATGTATGCAGCCACTTGCAATAGCAACTACATACAGGGTGCCTCTAATGAAAATACAAATTTTCTGCTGCAATACACATGCTAAGCTCTTCGAAATTTTCTGCTGGGCTATGCGTTACAGCTTCGCAAATTTTACCCCTACCGAAACCAAAGATGTATACACATAAAAACCGAAAACCAGAGTAACAAGAGAGAAAGTGAAATCCTGCTCATTCTCGAAGGGAAATATAAGATAATCACTCTCTCTCATTAAGATTTCAATGCTATAATGGGCTGGATTTCAAATTCATAACGAAGGGAAAATATATAGGATAACGAAGGTTCCATTTTGCTGAAGAATGGCCTACTCCTCGTATCGAATACTAACCTCACATTCGTTATCGAAGGTGAGACTCGAAAAAGATCTGTTTTCCAATCATTTTCGAATGTTAACCAAGCGCAATGTTTATTGGGTATATTTACATGTATGTATATGTATGTATGTGTGTATAAGCTTTTTTGGACGAGTTTAGATCACTGATGGGCACCGCCTTCAGGGTTGCCAACTATCCTTCGCCACGAGGGTAAAAAAGTGCCAAATAGAAAAATAAAAGTGCCAAAAATGGTGCCATCCTTTTTAATCCTTCCCATTTAGCAATAAAATTAGGACCACATTTCTAAAACAAAAGTCCAGTGACAAAATAAGATAAGTTGAATAACCCTTAGAAATTAGAAAATTTTAGTTGGGAAAAAGTACACACAAAGGATTTCAAAAAAAATTATTGAAATATTACTATTTTTCAAAAGTTTGTGGCAAACATGGAACAAAAGAGGTTTGGAAAAACAAGACCAGTACGATTTAATAATAATAATAATAGATTAGCACTTACACTTACATATGTTAGTGTTTGGCAGAGCTTCTGCTCCGATTTGTGGCGTGCAGCGA